ACCTGGCAGATTCAAACTGCTGACCTAGTGGTTAGCAGTCCAGCTCATAATCCATTATGCTATCAGTAGTCCTTACAATAAAAAATATAACCACATTAAAATAAATGAAAACAAGAACTCACAACACCATTGTCATAGAGTTGATTCCAATTCATGGCTACCTCATGTGTTACAGAATAGAATTACTGCATAGTGTTTACTTGGCCTTCATCTTTACTGAAACAAATCACTTGGGCTTTATTTCATGACACTTAATGGGGAGTTTGATTTACTAACCTTAAAGTTAGTAGTTGAGTTCACACCATGTGCTTCATCCAGAAACCACATTAGCCAGACTCTAAATTAAAATAAAACGTTCATGATCAGAGAATGTATTTACATATCAATTACTTTAATAGGTTTTCATCATTCCTTGGTTTACAGACATCAATCTTACGTGTGGTTATATGGCCATTCAAACACGTGAGTTGTCTTTGAAAATCTTCTCAAATATATATCCTCTCATTTGTTTAATGGATATAAAATTTTGATACCTATGTGCTTGATAAATGGCAAAACCATATAGCAGTGCTGATTTCAAAGATGGCATTAGTTGAAAATGCACCAATGATTCAAGAAGGATTTACTTTTAAGAAACACTCATTCCTACTTTTTACTATATGCAGTATTGTTTGCATTAATCATCTCAGGGAAAAGTCAATGGCCTTTTCTTTTCCCCCTTATCTATAAACTTGATACAATGTGATTCTCATCATAAATGTTTGGAAAATGCTGCTTCTTTATAAGACTAACAATTTTATTTATAGTTCAGGAAATTAGGACCAGGACGGTTCAAATACAGGTTTGAACCAAGTAAACTTCTTTCCAAGTAAATCTTTCTATATCAGGGAGACTGGAGGTCTCCATATTTCAATTCCCAGATGAAAATAAACTTCTTCATTCCTTTTGGAAGAAACAATATAATTAAATTGTTAAAAATGTAAAAGTGAAAAGAATAGAGGGAATTATGAAGTAATACACTGCTGATTTTCACTCTAATTCTTGGAGGGGCACTGAGGATAAACACTGAACTGCCACCTGCAAAGTAAGTGGTTTAAACCCATCAGTGGTATATTAGAAATTCTGTACAGTCACTATGAGTCATAACAGCTTAGAAGACACTTACCAATTCTACTCACCTATGCCAAGAAATTTGGAATACAGCTACCCGGCCAATTGATTAGAAGAGATAAAAATTTTGCCCACTCCAAACAGAAGTGACCTAATGGAATGTGAATAATAGAGAATAGTATCATTGATATTATTACATAGTATTACATATTACAATAATATCACATACAAGTAAAATAATGCTGAAGACAATTTAAAAATGGTTGCAGTAACACATAGCAGGGAGCTTCCAGAAATTATTACACTAACATTAAGAAGAGGACATAGAAATTAGTGCTATCATTGTTGATTTCAGATGGATCTTTGCTAAAAGCAGAGAGGACAGAAGCAATGTTTACTTGTATTTTTATTGATTATGCAAAGGCTTTCGACTGTGTGTATCACTACAAACTATGGACAACATTAAGAAGAATGGGTATTGTAGAAGACTAAATTGTTCTCTTTGGGAATCTGT